TTTTCTGAATGCCTCCAGGTAGATGTGATCAGGAAATGGGCTTCCCTTTTCACTCTTCTTCCTGAGAAGTTTCAAGATACCACTGTTGGTCATTTTGACATAACTTAGGATTTAATTTTTAGCCTGTTTTCTCCTTTGTCTGTTTGTCCCGCTCCACAATCCCTGTTCAGGCCTTTTTTCTAGTTGGAAACAGTTCAGGGCCGGCCGTGGCCATTTGGTTTTAATTGGAAACTGTCTCTTTAAATTTTGAGGAGATCTGTGCGCATGCGTAGTAGAACCCTCTGTGGGTGGGGCTGGGGTACCCGCTAGCTCAGGCACCCCTATGGTCACCAGAATGTAGGTGCGCAGACAGCAAGGGACCAATGAACAGCTACCAAAAGAAAAGAATGTCCACACCTTTATCTGAGCGGTTCTGCCAGGCGTCTGTGGCTGCTCCGATCCTTCCCCCATGTGGTCTCACCCAAGATGACGGCTCCTGGAGCAGCCGAGCCTCCCGGACTAGAAAGCAATAGATTTCTTGCTTCTGCCACAAGTTCCCCGAGCTGTGAGCCTTCCAACATTCTAAGTATTCCTTTATATGTGGTTCAGAGTTCTGGGACCATCCCCTGAGCCTGCTTGGTCGGGTATTTTGTGTTGTTGTTGGCGGAGCTCTTCATTACACATCCTCCCGATCCGCCATCTTGTTTGTTCTCTCTCCCTTTTTTTGAATGACAGTTTGCTGGGTAAAAATTCGTGGTTGGCATTGTCTTCTTTCACTCTCCATTGTTGTCTGGCCTCTAGAGTTTCTGGGGAATATTTGTGCTGATACTTAATGCAAGTCCATTGGTTTGTTACATTGCTGCTTTTAGAATTCTCTCCTTGTCTTTGACTTCCAAGAATTTTATTAGAATATGGTACAGAATTAATCTCTTTTTGCCTCTTCTAATTGCAGTTTAAGGAGCTCTGGTAGCATAGTGGTTACGAATCGGACTGCTATCCTCAGGGTCAGCAGTTCGACACTACCAGCTGCTCTGCGAGAGAAAGATTAGGCTTTCTGCTCCTGTAAAGATTTACAGCCTCGGAAACCCTGTACAGGGTTACTATGAGTCGGAACCAACTCCATGGCATGTAACAACAACAACAATTGCAATTTATGTAGCCTCCTGCATTTACAGCCTTGGTTCTCTGGTCAGATGTTTCTATTGAGATCTGGTAAAGTTTAGGTTTTTTGTTTTCTAGTTCATTTATTCTGTCTTCTGTCTGTTTGACTCCATTGTTGAGTGTTTTTCTTGCTTTTTAAATTCACATTTATTCTTCAGTTCAGTAGTTGTTTATTTTTTAGATTGTTTCAGTGTTCATGTTGAGTCTTTTGTTTTGTTCCTCCCTTTTTTCCTGATCTCTGCTAGTTTTCTGTGTGCTTTTTCTTTCCTAAGCATATTTAATACTTGCTGTTAAGTGCCCTTGAGTTGGTTCCAACTCAGAGATCATGTATAGGGCTTCCGAGGAGCTGTTGGGGGCTTTGAACTGCCAATGTTGTGGTTAGCAGTCCAATACTTTTGCTTGCCAGGACTCCTTATTTAACACTATCGTCTGAAAATTAATCGATTTTTTGCATCATTCTGACCTTCATAGGAGAAATCTCTTCTTCGTGTTTTGCTTTTGACTGGTCCTCATTTTTTCCCTTTATTATTGCATTGAACACCATGTGTTTTTTGCTTGTTTATTTTAATTTAAAGTTTTATTGCGAGTTTTGTGGGAAATTTTTCTGATTGTATGCCCTGGTGACACATTGCCAAGTTCCTGACTATTAACTGAGAGGTCCGGACCTGCACCCTCTCGCTGCTCCCTGGGAGATAGATGAGACAGTCTGCCTCTGCAAATATAGCCCTGGAAACACCTGGGGGCAGCTCTACTCAGTCCTGCGGCATCCAGAGGAATCAAAATTGACCCAGTGGCAGGGGGATGACATCTCCTGAGAACCACTAGAACGCATTCTTGTGCTTAGGCTTTTTTCCAGTGCTTACTCAGAAGTTCTGGATGCTTCATCTCCAGAATTCAAGACAGATGTGCAGAAGGGGCTTAAGCTGATCAAAAACACTGAGAAAGTAGAGGGACGGGGCTCAACTTTTTCTGTAACAAAGGTAGAGGCTCTCTCTGTCTTTCCCTCATGGGCACCCCTGCACAGACTTGCCCATGGTGTCATGCTGTTAGCCTTTCCTCTATGTCACCCTGTCCATTGAAGTATTTCCCTTGCCTTGCTGTTCTTGCTGTTCTCCTGGTCCCAGAGCTCATCCATCTCAGTCCTTGGCAAGATTCAGCAGTATTCTTTCGAAGTGCCAGTCTCTCTTCTTTCCCCTCCCAGCTGTGTGGCTTGCAGCCTCCTGCAGTTTCACTCACTTCAGTCAGGCTGCAGCTTCCTCAGACTGCCTGCCTTCTGTGCTTTCTGTTCCGGGTGTCACCTATTCCCATCCCAAGATGACTTCCATGGGTACTCCTGATGTGAGTGGATTAGTTCACGTGGCTTCTGTGCTGTCCTTGGTCCTCCTCTTCCTGCTTCTGGACGCTCTTTAACACCTCAACTTCCATCCAAAGTTTTCTGATCCTTATCTGTTTGTTCTTATTCGTGTGGGTTAGTTGTTAGGGGAGAAAACAGGAGCTTCCACTCACTTTGTAATCTTGCTCTACCCCTTATTTCTGTTTTAGTCTTGATTAAAATGCTTATATGTATAATACTGTCTTTAGTATTTAGCAAATACAAAATATGTATGTTTGATCTTTGTCATTTAAGGAACAACAATTGAAGAAGATCATAGCCAAAGAAAAACGTCTTCAGGCCACCCTTGGAGGAGCAGAGGTGAAAGTTGAAATTGTTCCTGCCAGTTTAGATGAGAATGCAGGTGAGGATTCTGTGAACCATTTCTCTGTGTTCTTGAATTGCTGTCAGATGCTTCTACCCAGTGGAGATTATTCTGCTTAATCTTTGGTGGGTTTTGAAAAAAAGACATTTGCCTTTATTGCCAAAACAGGTTGAGGAAGATTTCATTCTCCACACCTTCAGAACCAAATCTCTTCAGTCGTACTGGGTTTTAAATCCATCCACTGGAGGCTGCAGGTGTACCTCTCGTCATATATTTAATAAATGGAAAAATGAACAAGTTTTATGTAGTTAGTTTGATAAAGACAACTAGCATCCTGATTGGATTATACTGTAAGTCCAACATTATCATAGAGACTCATAGAGATTCTCTCACATATGTTTATGGAGCATATTTGGCAGGCTTTCCAAGCATCAATTTTGTTGTTTAAAAAAGACATCTTTTTCCAGTTACACTGTGGTTATACTTTCTGTTTATATCACTGGCTTCAATGGTCATCTTTTGGAAAACTGCTTAAGAAATTATGTAGGGAAAAAAAAGACATTATGTAGGCTCTGGAACTAAATTCTTGGTCGTCATTTCACGTGTGTGTGTGTGTGTGTGTGTGTGTGTGTGTGTGTGTGTGTAGACAATAGAGATTATATATAGCTGTTCAGGCATTTACTATTTGAAATAAAAGGTTTCTTAGCATTTAAGATCTTCAAGCAATTATTTTCTACTAGCTCCAGCAGTTTATTGCAATAAGATGCTAGAATTATGAAGAATTTATTGAGGGAACAGAGAAAATCAGAGATGTGCTTTTAAAGTTCAGCCTTAAAATTCACGGTGTCTACAACCAGGGCTTTCTGCTGCCGGGCGCCGTTTTTCTTATTGGGGACAGTCATTTGTTCCCTGTCTAGCTGTTTAGAAGCTACTGTTTATCGTTTACCTCCTACTGCTACTTTAGTCAAACTTTGTCTCAGGTTAATAGTTAGCCTCCCCAAATGCAAACTCCTAGTTTTCATCCTTGTTCCCCTGACAGTGCAGCACTTGACACTTCCTTCCGTCTCTCCTCGGGTTTCCCACCACTTCTAGTCAGTTGTTTTTGGCCTTCTCTTACATGTTGGTATTTGTAAGGAGGTTTCCTATGGACCCCTCTTGTTCCTCTCCCTGGATAATAGCATCTTCTCACTACAGCTTCCATAGCCACCAGTGTTCTAGTATCTAACACATTCATACACCTCTGCCCTTGACCTTTTTCTGAGTTCCTGGGTGCTAATACAACTATTGACCTGGGTAACAGCAAACTCTCAGACTTGGGGCCGCTATTGCCACCTTCCCCCAGCACCCTCTTCCTTGGTGTTCTGCATCGTATCTGAACAGGTGGCTGTAGAACCTGGTGTGTACGGTCCCAGATCTCGTGTACCCCGCTCTGTGTTTCCAAGCTGTAGACCTGGACTGTGCTCCTTAACCTCAAGTCTGTTTGGTATCCATGACATACGCAGAGGGGTAGCTGACCTTCATTTCTCTGCTCACATGCTTCTCTGAAGTTTCCTTTTCCCTGTTCTCTACATGACAGTCTACTTTATTGGGGGTATTGTGAGGATTACCTGAGAAGGAATTCTTTCTGAAATTAGATTTAATGAGGATAAATTGAAAAGAGAAAAAAAGAAACTATAAAAATTGGCTTTGTGCTCTATGACCTGGGATGAGACAGGTCTGGGATGATTTACAGGGGCTTGCTACAACCCTTCCTGTTCAACATTGTTCTAGCTGCTGTTAACCGATGCAGTAATGGAGAAAAGAAATAAGAGGTTCAAAGATTGGAAGACTAAGACCGTCAATATTTATAGATTGCATGATTATTTATGTAGAAAATCCAAAAGAATCAGTAGACAATTTTTTGAAATGTTGTGTGTAGCAATATTATTGAATATAAGATCGATATATAAAACTCAATTTTATTTTTATACACCAGCAAAACAAAAGTAAAATTTAATAAAGATGCCAAATGGAACGAAAATTAAATACCTTGAAAGAAGTCTTAACAAAAGAAATGTAGCTCTTTGTGCAATATATTTAAAACTATAAAATGTCATTGAGAAATTAAAGAAGACCTAAATAAATGGTGAGAGATTGGAAAATGTAGTTTTCTGAAGGTGTCAGTTTTTCTGTTGCTTTACAATTTCAGTGCAAACCTAATAAAGACTTTAGGATTTTATTTTGGTAGGGAGGGGCTGGAATGGGGTATTAGCATGCTAATTCTAACATTTATATGGAAATGAAATGGGCTACGAATAGCCAAAGCAGTCTGGAAGAAGAATAAAATACCGAGACTCATTGGAAAGCTATGGTAATGAAGACAGTGCCATATTGGCACAAGGAGAGATCGTAGACCAATTGGACAGAATGGAAAGTCCAGCAAAGGCAGCCAGTCATATTTGGCCACTTGATTTTTGACAAAAGGGGTAGTCCAGTACAGTGAAGAAAAGTAGTGTTTTCATAAATGGTGCTTGGTTAAACCTTATGAAAATAAAATGAATTTTTATCCCTCACACCATATACATACAGATTATAGATCTAAATGTGAATGGGAAACAAGACATTTTAGAATACAACAGAGGAACCCTCTGTTATGATCTTGGGGTAGGTAAAGACTTCTTAAACAAAACACAAAAATGCTCACTGTAAAGGCTGAAGGAGTCCTGGTGTGGCTCTGTAGGATAAACACTGGACTGTTAACCACAAGGTCAGCAATTCAAACCCCCAAGCTGTTCCTTTGAAACCCTACGCAGGATCGCTTTGAGTTGCAGGATCGCTATGAGTTGCAGGACCGCTATGAGTTGGAACCCACTCAGTGGCTCTTAACAACAACATAAAAGGAAAAGTAAAATTGTCAGTGTTTATAGATTGCAGGATTATGTAGAAAATCCAAAAGAATCAGTGTTAAATGGACTACATTAAAACTAAGAATGTGTGTTCCTCAGAAGATAGCATTGAGAGAGTGAAAAGACAAGTGTATGAAACAGTATTTGCAATATATGAACCAGTCAGAACACTTATATCTTGTTAAGTGCCATCAAGTCGGTTCTGACTCATAACCACCCTGTATAGGGTTTCCGAGGCTTTAAATCTTCCAGGGAACAGAAAGCCTCTTCTTTGTCTTTTGGAGCGGTTGGTGGGCTCAAACTGCAGACTTTGTGGTTTGCAGCCAAGTGTTGATCCTATGGAGTGAGTAAAAATCTCTTGTTGTTAAGTGCCATTGAGTGGTTACAACTCACAGCGGCCCTAGATAGAGTTTATGAGGCTTGTAAATCTTTGTGGGAGCAGAAAGCCTCATCTTTTCCCATGGAGTGGCTGGAGGGCTTGAACCATTGACCTTATTCGCAGTTCAGTGCTTATCCTATTTGTTGTTGTTGTTATGTGCCGTGGAGTTGGTTCCGACTCATAGCGACCCTATACAAGGTTTCCAAGGCTGTAAATCTTTACAGGAGCAGAAAGCTTCATCTTTCTCCCGCAGAACAGCTGGTAGTTTCCAACTGCTGACCTTGCAGTTCACAGCCCAATTCATAGCCACTACACTACTTATCCTATTAGAGGTCGGTTATTCTAAGAAGGCCAACAGACTTAGAGAAAAGTGGGCCAAATACGCAAACCTTTTATTTATGAAAGAAGCTTTTGGGACGTCTGGCAAGATGGTGGACTAGGCAGAACACTACAACAAAGATATGAGAGACCGGAAGAAGCAGACACAGATGAAAATCCTGGAAAAGCCATCTTCAGAGGAAAGGTTAGAGAAGTGGACCCTGTGCCTGCTGGGAGGAGAAGCTGAGCAGGGATGCCTGGTGACAGACGGCCCTATGTGACATGACTGTTTTGAACCTTTGTGAGCAGCTGTGGTGCCAGAAGGTGCTCTAGCAGAGCAGACTCACACTCCCCTGGTGACCAGAGTTGTGGCCAGCTCCCACCCTGGTTTCCGGGATTCGGGGACACTTGGTTGTGAGCCACACCAGTATAAGGCAGGGACTGGCTGGGCCACTCTGGTGCCTGGATTCAGGCAGGTTTAGCTCCAGACCTACAGAAGCTGCAGAGCCAGCAGACCAGCATTAGTCTGAGAGAAACCCTCATAAGCAGCCACCCTGTCTCCAACTCTCCTGTGGTCCTAAGAGACACTGAAACCAACTCCATCAAGGGCCTTCATGAACTACTTCCAGATTGAATGCTCTGAACACAGATAACACCTGGGCCTGTAGGAACTTCACCTAGGGCCAGGAAATCAGCTGTCACATCCCTTCTACACCCACCTTTGGAGTTCTTTGGCTGCAGGAACCCCTAAGAGTTTTCTCCTCTCTGGGTCCAGTAGCTGTACTGTTTTTTTTTGTTGTTGTTTGTTACCTTTCATTGTTTCATAGTTTTTGTCTTACCCATTTTCCATTCCTTTGAGTTTTGTCCTCTGTCTTTGCTTATGTTTTCCCTTCTTTTGTTTCTCATTTCCCCTCTTAGTTTTTATTCTTTTGAGTTTTCTCTGCTGTCTACTTTCTTTTCATCTCCCTCTTCCTAGTTTTCTGATTTTTTTTTTTTTTTTAAATTTCTGAGGAAGACAAGGTGATGGAACTAGCTGAAAAAGAATTCAGGAGAATAATATTTAAGTAACTTGAAAGAATTGACAGAAAGATTAAGGAAAGCAAGGAGAAAAAAAAAACTTTAGAAGAATTCAGAAAATCACTACAAGAACAGACAAAATAAATGCAAGTTTTGAAACAATACAAAACCTGCAATTAGAAATCCACTAAGATTTCAGAAATGGACAATATATTGAAAAGATAAAGAAATAGGTTTGAACTAGTAGAAGCCTGAAATAGTGAACTTGAAGATAAATCTCTCAATATTAGTATGCTAGGAGGACAGAAAAAAAGAATGGAGAAATCTGAAGAAAGTCTAAGAGTTATATGACACATCTTGAAAGAGGAATAACAATACATCATCCAAATTCCAGAATAGGAAGAGATAATAAAAAGCACAGAGAAAATTGTTAAAGAGTT